AACCACTATATATATATATATATATATATACACACACACACACACACGTAACTTATTCCATCACTACAGTATAAATTTTGAATTGTGCAGGTTCATTAACCTAGAAGAATACGAGGGAGGTTTCAACATACCAGAGATGGAAGAGATGTTTCAAAACATTGAGGAAAAGTATGATGTTTGGAGTTCAAATTTTGCTAGTATAGCTATGGATCCAAGTGATCCTCCTTCTGTTGACAAATTTGATAAATGCTTGAAAAGAATGGGAGTTGAAATTGCATTACCTTTAGCCAAAACTGTTTTCCTAAGTGACTATAGACACATTCTTGACAAGGTTATTACCCCATGTACCATAATTCAAACCAAGGTTGATTTTGCTGTTCCAAACTCGGTTCCCACCTACATGCACAACACTATCAAGGGAGAATCCACTGTTGAGATCATCAACACTCATGGCCATTTTCCGCAGCTCACTGCTCATCAAGAATTCCTTGATGTAATTCATAGAATCTTAACTTCTTAGAACAAATCATTTGTGGAATAATGTAGTAGTAATCTTGTATCCATGACCTTTATTGGATACAAGATGATACTAGCTAGCTTGGTTTTTTTGTTAGGATGATTTGTATGGTTGCTTGTGTCATAGTTTGGGCTAATAGTGTTTTGAATGTATAGTTTGTCAATCTGGTTGAATGATTGAAATTTGTTCTATTGTGGGGTCTTTGTTTGTAAATCATGCATGAATAACTATAAATACATTAATCTATTAGCCAATTGAATAATCTTAGATTGCGTAGCAACGACATAAATTGTTCTGTCCATTCTCCATCCATATAAAAGCAGCACAACTAGCTAGCCACAATTTTGTTATGTCAATTATCCATCCATCTAAGATATGGATGTAAATAGGAAACCATAATACAGTAATACAAACCAACACATATATCAACAAGTAGATTTCTAGTCACAAATCTCGACTTAAATATAAGCAGTAAACAATAAAATTAGTAAAACAAAGGTAACAAAAAACATTTGAAAGTAGATGATTTTGAATTTTCATACTCAATTTTACCGTTAAATAGAAAAAAAAAATCTTAAAACATTACGGAGAGCATGGCATATCATATATGTGATTGAACATATATATTGTAATAATATAGTTACATAAGTGAGAGGTTACAAGCCGAACGAATTCGCCAACAATTAGGCCAATCTTTATCTGTGAAAGAGGGCATACCTGTTTGATAAACACAAGAAATAGATTGATTGATGAATCACTGCCATAGATGATCGTTGTTTTTAAAGAGATCAAAATGAAAAATTGCAACTCAATGCATACATCTATCCAGTTGCGTATGATATATGAAACTTATGGTTTACATTTGAGCTTATTTTTGATAGATCTGCCGGGCCGAATTGATAAAATTCGAACAAACAAAAAATAAAATAGCAAAACACATACATGCCTGAGACTTGACAATTTGAACACTTGGGACACAAATTTTTTAACCTCAGTTGTGTATGCTTGAACTTCTTTTATACTAACTAAATATAGAGCATTTGTTAAATAGCGACTCCAAAAGCAAATATATGTTTATAAAATAGTAATAAGTAATATAATGGAGTGGTTGAAGGTATTCACATAAACACCTTTTAACCAACTATACCTCATTAATTAGTTAGTTGTGTTGCAATGAAAAGAGAATCATCTGGTTAATCCTTACCCCGCTGGAAAGATTCAGGATATGCATTATGCTCACACATTCAATTCTCCAATATCTGGGCTCAGAGGTTCGAAAAGAGCTTCCACCTCCCTATCCTCAACTTCCTCCAAGCAACTTGGTTTCCACTTTGGCTCCTGAAAACAAAATCCTTAATATTTTTAGGAATACTCATTCCAACAAAACATAATGATGATGAAAATCAGGCCAGGCCAAATAAAGAATAAAAAACATCATCACCTTTGATCCACTACACCTTTACTAGCTTGGTACAAAAAAGGGCCGTCACCCACTACCAGAATGATGATGAAAATCAGGCCAGGCCGCAGTCATGAAAACCCGGCCTAGGTCTTAATCCCTAAATTCAAGTCTCATATGAAGAATGAAGAGAAACAGGTCGCTGGACCTGTTACCTAAGTCAAGTCTCATCTAAAGACAAGTCTCATTAGAAGAATGAAGAGAAACAGGTCGCAGGACCTGTTCCTTAAGTCAAGTATCATCAGAAGAATGAAGAGAAACAAGTCGCAGGACCTGTTCCTACAATCAAATTCGACCCAATATTCATGACCCAACATTCAGATCAACATTATCAATCAAGAAAGCCCATTCACTCATATCCCATTACATTTTATCATCTTTTGTACATAGCATAAGATTCTCTCATTAGATGCTTCTTCTAGAATTTGTATAGGTGGGCAAAGTTTGTTATCTCCTAGATTAATTTACCATTTCTGCCATTTTTTAATAGGTTAAATAGTTGCTTCTTGTTCAATAAAATTAACTCAGAAATATAGAACCAACCAATATCAACAAATTGGATCACATCCATCCTCAATCAATCATTTCCAACATCATAAATCAAGACAATCTCCAAAACACGGGATGTAAAATGGTTGTCCCACTAATGTTATTACAAGCGAAGTGCCTTCTTTTCTTCCTCTTTTCATTCTTCTTCTTATTGAATCCAAATATCCTCCATTGGCCCCCTAATTTCACCTATCTATATTTACTTCTGAAGGGATGATCTTCCCCTCTCTATCTCTCTCTAGAGCACTTTGTCAAAGTGTTACAATGATGAAAATT